CTATGGCAGGTGTTGGCCCCCCAAAATATACAATCAGTGGACATTTTTTTATTATTCATCTCCCACTTCCTAAAAAGGTTCGTAACTCAAAGGAATGAAAGATATGTGATGAAGACAAAAACCATAGATGGGAACAATTTAAAGAGACTAAAAGAGCTCAAGTTTATCTAAAGTCTTCAAGCCATGGTTCCTATATAGATAGTCTTGATTATCACTATTTGTTCTAAGTCACCATTTGTTTCTTTTTGAAACTTACCTTCCCACTATTAACTTAATAGTGTTTGTGCAGACTCCATTCAAGGCAAGAGCCAAGGATACAGCTACAAAACAAAACCAACAGAAAAATAACCAACTGGCTCTCAAATCAAAATTATCATCATCACTATCACTATCACTATCATTATCATCACCATCACCAACATTATCATCACAGCTATTATCATCACCACCATCACCATTATCATTATCATCATTGCTATCATCGTCACCATCATCACCGTCATCATCATCATCATCACCATGACCACCATCACTGCCATTGTTTCACTGTAATGCTTTTTAACTTATTATCATAGAGATGTGACCATTACTATAAAACAGAGTGAAATTTTGTTTCTAGCACAAAATATAATCCAGGTAGGACTTTGGAGAATGATTCATAAAATTCCAGCCCCCTCTGAAATGAAATTTTCCTCTTTTCCTTTACAGAAATTTTCAACATCACAGAGGAACACATTTGTCACTTTCTTGCCTGATATGATAAGATTTAATACTGTAGTATATCAGATTTCTTTTACTAGTAGCAAAAAATAACTATTCTTATTTCCTCCTAACAATCTTCTTAGCTATAACTCTAACTAGAGAAGCTCTACTGTAAAATAGGACATCTCCATTAGACCACTATATCATTGTTGACCAATCACCTGCAGACAGCTGTCCATTTGTTATCAACAAATCATCATTTTTGTAAAGGAGAAAACTCCATATGCTTCCCTTTGTTTTGAGGTTTTCCCAAGGTGGTGTTTTGGTCATTTAAAATAGCAAGTACCTCTGCCATTACTTAAAAATACATAGCATGGTGCCTCCTTTTCAGCCACTTGGATAGACTTGGCTAGATTAAATCCAGATCATCCAAATAGTACAAGCAACGTGAATCACAGAGCTCTCCCAGAAAAACTTTGCACTATTCTCCTGTGGTTTATCAAGAATACACAAAGGCATTTATCATCATTGGTATTGTCATCACTATCAATGTGATGGAGGTCAGATGCCTTCCATAAGTAATATATGCTTTATGATGACCTCTTCCATTACTTTGTTGAATAATAAAGCATGTGGGCTACCATTTCCCCTTGGCAAATATTAACTTCTCAGTACTAGTTGAGATTTATATAAGAGAGCAATGGTGGGACATTTTTGGAAAGGGCCTGCCTGGAGCAATTCACGGCAATCAAGGGAAATAAATTTATTATTTTATCAAGAGAAAAGTACTGTGGGATGGGACACAGAGTGGCCAAGAACATATACTACTGAAACTGGCTCAAACCTACTTGCTTTAACAAGCAGACAAAATGGGAGGCACAAAATGGGAGAGGCATGTTTATCAAAGGGAAATCAGTAACCTAAGTGCGGACGGGGAACAACTAGCCATATCCAAAGTGGGGTGGCAAAGGAAGGACAGGCCGTAGTTGGGAAGCAGAGAATGAGTCAGCAAGAGTACACTGTCATGAAAACATAGAGCATACAATCAAGGTGTATAAGATGGAACCAAGTGTTGGGGACTAAGGAAGATCTGCTACTTGTATTCTGCACACACAAATCCTTTATTTCTAAAACATGAATTTTCTCTCTCTCACAAAATGAGAGCTGTAAGAGCACAAGAAGATGATTGTGGTCTTTCACCTGTTAGGACTCGCCTGGGAGTCACCCTTCTGTGTTTTCCCAGTGGGGCTGGTCTCATTCTTATTCAGATTAGAGTATGGTCTTTGCACAGATAAACCCTATCAGAAGAAGTACCAGTAGCTTATCTCTCATGTCTCTATAAATCTTGGTGGATTTTATAAGCAGCTTCATTGACCCAAAACACTACACACTCCAACCTCTGAGTCTCATGGGCTATTCCAACACAGAGCAGTTTTTTTAGAAAGTTTGAAATAGTTGAGCTAGAAAATTTGTGGATATGAGTTAACCAACTGTTTGATTCAAATGCCTTAAGGAAAAAGAGAAGGATGGGAAACTGGAGTGATGATATTTGGTGAGTGGAAGCCATCTTGAACTCTTAAACTGAGTTGATTACAATTTTCATCTGAACAGCACAGCCCTCAGAAGACTAACACAAGGACCCCCTCATACTATCAGAGAGCAGGCTATGGTCAGATTACACTATTGATGGGCTGGACAAGTGATACTAATGATTCCAATCAGGAATGCTTGCTGATTAACAGAAAACTAGTAGGTCTGGCTCACAGGCGGTTTTTACTGAATCCCACAGTACTGTTTGAAAGAGGAACCAGGAAGACAAACTAGACTGTGTCTAATAAAGAGATTCAAACCAATAATTTCCACAAGTTGATTTGTAAGGGGCTTGTACTGGTTAGAAGCATTCCACAGGATTAGAGAGCTTTTCTGGCTGGTTTTTTATGAGAGATTCAGCATCACAGCATTTTCAGCCAGGTTTCTCTTTATATAGTCCTGGGTTTTCTGTGGCATGAATTCCTGAAAACCTCATGTTAAATGGGGCAAATCTACTCTTTACATCCAGTTCTAAATGTATGCATATGACCTCTGTGCATATACAGATAAGGGGAGCAACTCAGCTCCATATTTGGAAGCTTGAGTTAAAGTATATTATCTAAGTAAAGAAAGGACTCAAGGACCAAACACCTCATACTAACAAAGTCCTGAATTACAGACATTAGCAAACACCTAGTTTTCTATCCTTAGTATTTAAAGATCATTTCTCCAACCTCTACTTCCAAGCCTACCTAAAAGCAGTGATTACTTTAAGACTCTGTGCACAATGGACTCTTCATCATTTTTATATGGCAGGTTCTCATTTATTTAGGCAAACAGAACATTCAATAATTGCACCTTCTTGGTTAACATGTAGGAGGCAGAGTACAGTGTTCAATTTTGAAATGTCACCTGAGGGAGATTTAGCTGAGAATGAAAATGTCTGGAAAAGGTAACTGTGAGCTACTTACTGCCATCACAACAGCCCAACTCAAAACCCAGCAGTAAACTATAAAAACAAACACAAAAGACAGTTATTTTCCACTGTTATTTATCTCAGGACTTTGTGCCAGGAGAAAAACAAGAATCAAGAGCATAGCATGGGATTTCCAGGCCAACTAAGAGGGCACCAAAAGGATGCTTGAGGACCATAGTGTTCTCCATCCAAACACTGCCTGACCATTTGAGAAATATGTGGGAGTGCACCTGTTCCATTTATGAAAAAAAATGACCTTTCTTCTACTTCAGTTGAAGATACCAAGACCATGTGACCAACGCCCCACACTACCTGTCCTGAGAGAGGACAACCCCAGGCTGTTCAGAGACTCATGACTTGGTGTTCTGACTGCAAAATGAATTGAATCAAAATCTATCTAGGGAGTCTAGACCAAGAAATACAGTGAACATCAGTGATTGACATTGAAGCTGCACAATCAGACAGACACGGGACAGAAGCAACCCTCACTGAAAACCCAAGTCTGGTACAAATCAAAGATATGGGGCAGCAGAGGCAAAGTAAGTGCAGGCAGAAGGGTGAGGCTGAGATTGGGAGGGGAAGAGGCAGGGTATATTTCAGGCATGAGCTGAGACAGTCTCTTGTCTTGATGGCCCCAATCCCCACTTCAGTTACCATGATGCTCCTGCATACTTTTACTTCTCCCCTTTTTCTATTTCTGTGAGGTTGGTTATTTTAGCCTTGTCATGATCTGTTTGAGTTAACTTGAGAAGGAGTCTATTTTCCTGTTCTTTGAATCTAGACTGGATCTGAGTCTAGATTAACATGTCTAGATTAAAATGTTATGTACTGTGTAAGACAGAGGACCCTGACTATTCTATATACCCCTCTAGATTGAAGCTTAATACTAAGTTTTCCCAGAAATGCAATGTTCATATTTCAGTATAATTAAAAAGCATATATATTAGGGAGGGTTCCCTTTTTCCTGGATTTACTGCCTCATTGAGTGGTAAGTCCATACCATACACAAAACACAAATTTGGGGGCATTTGGGTAGCTTTTATGTGAGGTATAAAGAAATCAATCTTATTCAAATTTCTCCAGAATCAAAAATCTGAAGGTTTAGCTATATATTAATTTATTTTAGTTATTAAATAGACTAAATAGTGCTGGCTATTTCTTGAACTTATCATTTTCTCAGCATTTGATTGATACACAGGCCAGCATAACACTTAATCCTAAAATATGCAGCTGTTGTCACATGAAGACATAGTTCAGCTTGGGTAGAATGTATAGAAGTATTGCTATGATCAATGGTAAAGACTGGCACACTCTTCACACAATGACAACTGTGTACCTACCAAAATGTTTCCAAACTGTAGACAAGTTAGGACATTTGTTTCTAATTTAGTTTACACCTGTTTGTACCCATTTTTGCTTCCAACACACATTAGCTCCTGAAATGCCTATAATATGATTCTGCCATGAGGTTGGACAGTCAGATTGGACAAATTCATATTTGCTTTGTCTAAGCCGACCGCTACCCAGCCACTATTCCAAGGGTTTCTGATATGAATAATATATTATATTCAGCACCAAGGACAGCAGCCAGGACTCCAGCTAAAAACCCTTTTCTTATAAACTGTGCATTGACTTTTCTTTGGCCTTAGAATTAATCTCATTTTGTTTTTTTCCTGAGCTTAATTTGACCAAAGGAAAAGTCAGTTGGATGTAACTGCGATTTTTTTTAAAACTCTGATGATCTAATTAAGTTCAGCCCCATCCCCTGAAGTAGGAATTGTGAATACTCTACCTAAGAAGGCTTCCTTAATTTCAGTCTTGTCTGTTCGCCGGATAATTTTCACCACACAAATAACAGCCAAAGGTGTGAGGAAAGAAATTGCCTGGAACACATAACAAATAATTCCTTATGAGAATATCAGTTTGCTTTCACTAGGATGGATTGATAATTACATCCAGTTAGCTTCATTTCAAATCATTAGTTGAATGATCACACTGTCCTCCTGGCTTCAAACAAAGAAGTATGATCTATATCTACGTTTAGAGAATACATAGGCTTAAAAAACAAAGACCTGATTGTAGGTTATAATTGATTTGTAATTGCTGGGAGCTATGTTTAAGTGGTGGTTTTTAAAATAGAAAAGAATAGTCTATAATTACAATGACTCATGGCTTCCAGGAACTCTCTTATGTCCTCCTCTGTTGAAGGATGTGAGAATTATTGTATTCTCTTATTTCCATGGCAAATAAGAGTGTGAGGCTTGCTTACAGTTAATCAATTTACTCCTTTTGGGTATTCTTTTGTTGAATATTCATGTCTTCCACTGATCAGAGGTTAGGCCTTTTGCATAAGGACCCTCCTCTTCCCTTCCTCCACTTCCCTTTCTCCACAAAGATGTTTAGCATATACTTAATGAATTAAACAGGTGGGATCCAGATGCAACCAGCATGCACTGCAAAGCTTCCCATGAGGCAGCATCTGTGTGAGCTACTGTGAAGTCTAGAAGCCTCTTAAATACTCATGATGGCACTGTGCTCTCTGCTCTGGGTTCCAGGGCTAAATGCTGTGCCTGGGGATGAGCAGCTGGTGAGCAGCAAGGCCAGGCTTCAAGAACAGGTTTTGTGCCTCCCATATGAAGTCTTTAATCCAGCTAAGCTGTTTTAAGTATGCTGGCAACCAAGAAAAATATATCTATGATCCTTGTGATGATAACTCCTCAGGGTAACAATATCAGGAGATAGGAGCATTCCATAAAAATCCACAAATATCTAGTGGGAATAGTGGGACTGTAGTAACTATTGACCAATACTGTTTGCTTGCAAATCTTCTTGCATTCCAATGAGATGTCACTTTTTGGAGAGGTGCTTCCAGATGAGACAGTCATGGCTGGAAGATGACTTTCTCTGATGAAAGCACAATTCACCCAAACAAACATGACTTTTCAAAACAATTAGAGGTGTTCTGCAGACTTAACTACAACCAGATTGCAAGAGTTCAAATCACTGTAGGGATTCCTCTTTGATAGCTATCTTCAGAGACAGTATATGAAATACCGTAAAAAACCCTTCATCTTACTTGCACCCTGTCCTTATGACCACAAATATTAGTAACTAATTTGAAGATCCTCCTTATTAGTTATGTCTCTAAGTGACACAGACTGTTTAATAGTCGAATGTCTAGTCACCATGAAGGGTATGCAAAGGCAAGTGGCACATGTGCTGAAGGCAGATACATGACATGAGATTCAGGGCTGAAGCAGAAATAGCAGAGAATTTCCCCAAGGTTGCATGGAAGGCAGTGCTCATGTGTGAGACAGTGGTTCTGTGAGACTACACAAGTTCCTGTAAGTTCTGGAATATCTCATACTGAGCAACTGCAGGGCTAACATTCTGATTTCTTCAAACATACTCACATGACCAGTGTGGGGATGCATGTGTGTATGGGGTGCTGGAAATCAAACCTAGGAACTTGTACAGGACTGCATTTTTAAATAAGCACCTGAAATGATCCTCATCCTAATGCCTGAGAGGCAGTGTGTTTGAATTCATATTTTTAAGGCCTAAAGAGCAATGGCTGGGGCAGTGTCTACTCATATTCAAAGTTACAGCCAAGGATGGAAAGTTCTTGTGTTATCAAATACATACATTAAACCTATCATGCTAGCTTTCTGTTTCCCATTCCATGAAATGCCACATATAGATTGGGCCACCTGTTCTGAAAGAGGAGAAAACAATTCACCAAACAGCTAAAGCCCCATCCTTGCATAATGATTCCACCAAGTCAAGCTTCATACAGAAGAACAACATAGGATGGAAGAAGAAATTACAAGATAATTCTAGCTAATATTCTTGGATTTATTTATAGACAGAAATGAAAACCCTGCTCTAAAAAGCTGTCAAAAGCAATCCAGTAGCAGGAAAACCCCACTTGAGAGGAGATGGGACACCATGTGGGAGACCTGGAGTGTACAGCCAACTGAGGGAGCTGGAGAAATCATTACAGCCTCCCAGTGACTCTCAGCTGGGGGAAGAGGGTTGATGGCTGGGGAATCTTTGATAACTACTGCCTGCCTCCACTCACTTTCTAATTAGAAAACTCACCCCACTACTCTATTGGGGCTGGATTCAACCAACTGTACAACTTTCCCAGGTAGATGCCTTTTAGTATGTTTTCTAGAACTACTGACCCACTGCTTTCTGAGCCAATCCTAAGTACCCAGGATCACTGAAGGGATCTCCTCACCTCAAGAGCTCCCAGGGCAAGGAGATGAAGCCTTCAGACAGTGTGCCAAGCTCCACCCTCAAGGTGCTGCAAGAGGAACATGTGTGCATGTTCTCATCTTAGCAATACTCATTTCTTCTTCCTGGGCACGCATGTGCCATGTCACTGGATATCAAACATCCCAAATCAAGACCTGCTCCAATTTTTGAAAAACTTTATTTTGAAAACGAAAAAAGACAAAATTTCAAAAAAGATAATAGAAGAATAACAATGCTTGATACACTGCATATTGTTGTCTTTAAATTACTCAGAGTACAAGACATTTAATTGTCCAAACAATATTAGATAAACTTCTCTTTAAATATTATTTATTTATTGTTAATTTTATTTTAAGTGAAAGAACAATAAAAACACTGATACAAAATTTTAAAGCAAAGTAGTTAGAGAGTAACAATGGTTAACATGTTGTGTATTGTTATCTTCAAAGTTGTCACTCATTACAAGATACAGGCATGCAAAATTGATCAAACAATATAAACACTAATCTTTTTTTTCAAGAACTAATAGAAATTAGTAGTATAACTATTGTAATTATAATATTTTTTTCCTTCTATTATCCTTTATATATTGTGTCAACTTCAAAAGTCTAGAAGCTTAACTAAGTGACTCTGCAGCTCTACATCTTTGGGTAAGGGGACAAGCCTTTACCATTCTAGGATGTTGTTCATTATGTCAATCTGAGAAGGGCAGAATTTTAACTAAAGTGATTCAGCAGGGGTCAGGGTCCTTAGTGTGTAACATCCTCAGCCTGTGCAAGTGGAGGGCATGGAGATGGTGTGAGTGCTACACCCACCCCAGGGAGAAGCCTGCTTACAATAAAAGGCAAATGAGGAGGGACCGATTGCTGTTTGGAGGAGCTGTAGTCTTCACCATCAGCTTGGATGTCTTCTCCTGGCTTGTGGCACAGACCATTTGGCTTACACCAGGGACTCTTCAGCCTTCATCATAGACTCTTCAGCCTTCTGTTGTAGACTCTTCAGTGTTCCATTGCAGACCCATTGGCCTTCTGATACAGACTTGTGCAGGACACTGCAGTAAGCTTAGCCCTTGAGCTGGACCCTTCAGCCTCCATCATGCAGATACCCTCTGCATGCTCCCTCAGCCAACTTTGTGGCTGACCACTGTAAGCCTATTTTGTAATTTCTTATGTATTTGTATATCTTGTGTTATATCTGTTTCTCCAGTAAACCCTGATTGACACACCTTCCTTGTTTTCTCCTTTCTCCATCCCAGTTCCTCTTTCCTTTTGAATAGTTTCTATTTCTCAATATCTATCTTCTCATTTTAAAGAGAAAAAAAATAAAACAAATTTCAAAACAAGATAGTAGAAGGATAACAATGGTTAATACACTGTAAACTATTATCTTTACTCAGAATACAAGACATCCAGATTTAATTGTCCAATACTAACACAAAGAAAGGTGTGATCTGCTTTACTTTTTTTCTGATCATTTCTTTATTTAAAAAAAGGCAAAACAGAAAAAAGGGTAGAAATGATACAGAATTTTAAGAAAATAACAAGAAATCATCAATAGTTGATATATTACATATTGTTATCTTAGATGTAGTTGTTCAAGTAAGAAAATCAAAGCATAAAAAAATGAACAATCAAACCTGCTTCACTTTTGACAAGTATTTTTAAATTAGGAATTAGAACTAAGATTAAGCCTCAGAAAAAACCACATTAGACAAACAGTTCCCTCCTGCAGCATGGCCAGCTTGGAACTGAGTGGAAGCAGAACAAACCTCATCAGACCATCACACACCCTAGGGAGAATCCCAGGTTTGCACTCCTTCTGACTTCTCTAATCAGGCCTCATGAGGCTGTTGCCCTGCTGCCCAAGCCTAGGCTGTGAAGTGAACACAGAGATGTGGAAAGGTCACATCTACCATCCCCCAGGGTGGGGACAGGGACAAAAATGGGGAGGCAAAATTCCTGGATAGGACTATTTCCCTACTGGTATTTCTATAGCTAGGAAAAAGTGAAACTTCTAGGATAAGCCCAGGGTAGGAGATAGTGATTGATTAGTGCTTATGAAATGAACCCCAGAGAGAACAAAGAACTCAATCAAAAACTACTTCAGAATACAGGGCACATTATGAACCTTCTCTGGACTTTAGTTTTTCTCACTTGTCACTGAAGGGCATTACTAGGTTAGAATAACAGATGCTAATATGGGTCAAGAACTTACTAAAGGCTAGAGTCTATTGTAGGCACTTTATGCAAACTCACACATTCTTCACAGTAACCCTGTGAAGTAGGAAGACAGTGTTCACTTGTGAGCCAGTGGTTCCAGTGCGCTTCCCACAAGCTAGGAATCCATAGAGCAGAGACGTGAAGGAACCTGCTGTAAGTGCTAGAATGTGGTTTTGTACTCAGGCTTTTTAAATTGAGCTCTGCACTTTTAAGCACAATGTTACAGCATCTTCTCATCTTTACAAAGTAAAAATCATTAAATAAAATGAAGGAAATTCCTTTTGTCCTGACAGGATAAGAAAGGTAAAGAGGCTTGTTTCCAGGACTAGGATATAAAATAGTAATATTCATGACAACTGACATGGACTAAGCACTGTTTGTCAGGGCCCTTCCTTATATGTGTC